AAATGCTTTGTCTCCCTAATTGTGTTAAGATTAATTTTCTGTAAGATCCCTTCCAGACCTAAGATTCTCTAATTCCTATGGGCCCTATGACAATGAGTACTGAGCAAAAATCTCATCCCTCTGCTGGAGAGAAAATTCAAAACGTGCATCCTATTGATGGTGATTCACAGAATAACAAATGATAAAAATGCCCGAGAAGAAACTGTCTTTCATCTAGGTTAGGGTTCTGCACCACTATTTTGTTATGGACCTTTTTAGCAATCTAGTGAAATCTATAGACCCTTTCTGAGAATAATGTTAACAAATACACATGATTACAAAGGAAACTAATTATATTACACAGTTATAAAATATTAAACACACACACACACACACACACAGACAAAGTTCACAGACCCCAGATTAAGAAATCCTGATCTAAACAAAGTCTCTAATTTTATAGATATAGAAACTAAAGGTCAGAGAAGTGAAAGCCTCATCCTCCTTGGGTAGCTTTCCCAATCAGTTTGAATGCCTTCCCTTGTGTTGTATGTCCCTAGAGAACATCTCAGGCAGCGAACTATACTATACACTACTAGGTCTTAAATGCAATATATACCAAAGGGTTTCACTGTCATGACACAACATTATAAGGTCAACGACATCTCTGTTCTTGCCAATACCTTCTCTTTCCATCCCTATTCTCTTAGACAAGCCTATTTGAGGGACCCTTACAATGAGAGGCAAAGAGATGTAATAGAAAGAGAACTGGAACTGCAGCCCAAAGACCTGCACCCTAATTTTAGTTCAATTAGTCGCTAATTGTAGAATCTTTCCAAAGTCTCACCTCAGTTCCCCACCTTAAAATGAGAATAATATTACCTATCCTCCTTACCTCACAAAACTATCGTAAAGCAAAATGAGAAAATCCATTTGAAATTGCTCTGTAGATTGAAGCTACAATCCTATGAAAATATCATTAGTAAAGCTTACAGTTTTTATCTCTTCACCATTAGAAAATGCATTACATACTCTATCTCATGAGAAAAATGGCAGAACCCGGACTGGAATTGAGATATTTTGATTCCAGTGCTAGCACTCTTTTTGATCATGCCAAGTTGTGTTTGCACTATTGAATGTGGAATGTTGGGGGGCTTGAGAAGAGGGAAAGGAAGCTGAGTTTTTATTATGCGTAGCTCCTACCTGCAAGGGGTTGTATATGAGACTATAACAACAATAGAGGAAAGATGTACATTGTCCTGTAAGGGTTTGCTTAAATGACAGGAAAACAAACTATTTACAAATTAAGAACCTAGACCAGGGGTCTGTAGATTTTTAGGAGGAAAAACATTTTTGGCAATATTCTAAGAATACAAATCCCTCTTTAGCCTTCAGCCTCTTTCATATCTACTGGTCCCTTTCGACTGCCCTCAAGCATGGCCAAGCCTCACCCATTCCTAAAAACAAGCTTCACTAGACCCTGTCATCACCTTCTCAAGACATCACTGTCTATCTCATCCTTTCTTAGTCAAACTCCTAGGGGAAAAAAAAACCTGCCTGTACTTATGGCCTCCAACTGCTCCCTTCACGTCCTTTACATTCTAGATTTCAATCTCATTATTCAACTGCAACTGCTCTCTCCAAAGGTCCCAACAATTCCTCAATTGCCCATTTTGATGGCCTTTCCTCAATCCTCAACCTTCTGGAACTCTCTGCTTCATTTGACAATGCTGACTACACTCTCCTTCTGCATATTCTCTCTTCTCTGTGTCTTTGTGGCACTATTCTTTCTTGGTCTTCCTCCTACCTGTCTTATCACCCCTCAGTTTTCTTTGCTGGCATGATTCATATCATGCCCCCTCTCTGTGCATGTACCCAAATGCTCCTTGTCAGATAGATAGATAGATAGATAGATAGATAGATAGATAGATAGATAGATATCCAGCTTCAACCTCCCTACTGAGGTTTCAGTCTCACATCACCAACTGTTTATTGGACATTTCAAACTGGATGTCCTAGACGTATCAAACTCAACATGTTCAAACCATAATTCATTATATTTCCCCGCCCCCAAATCACACTACTATCAAACTTGCCAATTTCTGTCTAAGGTACCACCATTTTTAGAGCTTCTCAGATTCATAACCTCAGTGTAATCCTCAACTTCAGGCAGCTAAGGGACACAGTGGATAGAATGCCAAGCCCGAAGTCAGGAAGACTATCATCTTTCTAAGTTCAAATCCAGTCTCAGACACTTATCAGCTGTGTGATCCTTGGTGACTCACTTAACCCTGTTTGCCTCAGTTTCCTCATCTGTACAATGGGCTGGAGAAAGAAACGACAAACCACTCCAGTATCTGCCAAGAAAACCCCAAATGGGGTCACAGAGAGTCCAACATAACTGAAACAACTGAACAACAACTCTCAACTACTCATTCTCCCTCCCCTATATCCAATCAATAGCCAAACTGTGCTATATTTACAAGCTCATCTCTTGTGTCTTACCTTTTGTCTCCACTTATTCAGCTACCACCTATGGTAATGGCTTTTTAATTGGTCTCTCCACCTCATCTCTCTCCATTCCAATTCATCCTCCACACAGCTACCAAAGAGATTTTCTTTAAGCACAGATCTGATCAGGTTACTCCACTACTCAATAAATTCTAATGGCTTCTTATTGCTTCCTATCCCTCTAGCTAAAATACAAATCCCTTTGCTTGGTTTTTAAAGTCCTTTACAAAATGGCCCTAAGCTAGCTTTCCAGCCTCATTATACATTACTCCCTTTCACACATTTTACAATCTAATCCACATGCAGCACTCCATCTCCTCTTTCCATGGCCATTCCCCCATGGCTGGAATTTACTTCCTCCTCAGCTCTGCCTCACAGCATCCCTCACTTCCTTCCTCATACAAAGTCTTCCTTTATCATACAAACCTTTCCTGATCCCCACAGTGCCAATGTCCTCCTTCCCTACCTTATATTTAACTACCTTGCATACAATTTGCATTTATTCAGTTTATATTTATTTTGCACACATACATACACACATACATATACACAAAATCATCTCCCCTAATGGCTCCTTGAGATTAGGAATTATTTCATTTTTTGTATCTCTGGTACTTAGCACTATGCCTAGCATACAGCAAGTGTTTAATAAATGTTTGTTAACTGACAGATTAAAAAGCCACCTTATATTTCATACAAACTTTTTTCTCAATTGATGCAAGAAAGATTTGACACTAATCTCTACACATTTATATAGTGTTTTATATGATTTAAATGTGTCAGTACCACATAATAAGAATAGGTATGGACCTATAAGGTCATTGATATGGGGAACTCCCAGATCAGGAAACTCCCTCTACCAATGTAGCATTGGCACCTTCTAATCGTAAAGAGTTGCCTAAGCACAGAGTGGTTTGACTTGCCTCTGGTCAAAAGGGGACTTCTGTATTTGAATCAGGTCTTCTTGGATCTGAAGCCAGCTCTCTGCCACATTGGCCATGAGAGTAGAAAGACAAAATTATAAGTATTTTTGTCTCCATAGTACATTTGTTATATGTTATACATGTGTAACCCAAAAAATAGAGGACTGAATGAGGAGTTCCTATGGTCTTCTCCCACTAGCTCACTGGCACAACAAGTTAGTCAGATGAATTAGTAAGGTTGGAACAGGACAGAAACATCACAACAGCAAACCCTGAGGAGTAAGGATTGCAGAATTGGAGTGAGGCCAAGGGAAAGAAGCCCAGTCTAACAGAAGTAGATGGAAAGAGAAAGGAAGAACATGAGAGCACAAGGTTAGAAATCCATTATTTGTAGTATGTAATAATCAGCATGTAAATGAACTGGGTCAACTCAGGTACACATCCATTCTTTTTGGCTAAAAGAACTAAAGATATGCATTTAAAAGCTGCATGCAACTGAGGAAAGAGTTGCTGACTCCTGGCCTTGGTACCTTCACTTCTCATCTCAGCAAATAATATTAACAAGGTGAAACCCAAGAGTTCATTACCAGTAAACATTCTGCCTTCTTTGTGTAAAATAAAATGCTGGATACATTTTGAATATATATGAGGAAGAGATTAGACTTGGTCTGCTTATCTCCACAGGACAAAACCAAGAGAAATGGGTGGAGAACTGGGACAGCAGTAGATTTAGGCTTGATGTAAGAAAAAGATTTCTAACAATTAAAGATGAGTCATGGAAGAATGGACTGCCTCAGGATAGCATCCAGGGAGATCTTTAAGCAGAAGTTAGAAAGCCACTTGCCAAAGCTATGGTAGAGGAGATTTCTATTCAGGTATGAGCTCACAGGGGCATCTAGGTGGTGCCATGGTTGGAGCACGAGGTCTGAAGTCAAGAAGAATCATCTCTCTGAGTTCAAATCCAGTTTCAGACACTTACTAGCTATGTGACCCTGGGAAGTCACTTAACCCTGTTTGCCTCAGTTTCCTCATCCATCAAGAGAGCTAGAGAAGGAAATGACAAACCACTCCAGTATCTCTGCCAAGAAAATCCCAAATGGGGTCATAAAGATTCAGGCACAACTGAAATGACTGAACAACAATAAATACATTCATAGGATTGTAAATTTAGAGCTAGAAGTGACTTCAGAGGCCATCTAGTACAATCTCCTCATTCCACCAATGAAGAAACTCAGAACAAGAGAGATTAGCTGATTTGGCCAAGATCAGACTGTACTTTCTCCATCCCTAAGGTCTTGAAATTCTGTATTTACACCTGAGGCATTCTCACTGGCACCTAGAGTATATTACTCAATATCAATTTGGAAATAGAAATTATTTACCAAAATTTCTATTCCAAGATTTACACCATCCCCCCCCCCGCCATCAATGTTTTATAAATTAATATTTTTGTAAAAACAGATTTTCTCAAATTGGGACATTCTGTCAGGAAAAGAAATAAGTATCACATGAAAAGTACCCACCAATACAAACATTCAATCAACCGGTTATTTAATTCAGGCAATAGCAGTACCCAAGTGTCATTACCTGCTTGATGAACTCTGAAAAGTTGAGGATGGGACCATTGTGCAAGACTGGATAGTAAAAAACATAAGCCAATAGCCAGAAGAAGGAGTAGGGGGAGCCCTTGGGGGTCCGTCCTTGCCAGCAGAACTCAAGGCTGAAGCTGGTGTAGTAGAGGCATCGAACCGTCAGAGTGAACTGCAGTAAGTAATACTCATTCTCTGTTTTATACCATCCTCTCTGTAACACCGAGGCAAAGAAAGGGGAAAACTGTTGTCAGCAAGAAAAGACACTAACAGCAATGACAACAATAATAACATTTAAACAGTACTCTACAGTTGCAAAGCATGTCATATACAGTGTCTCCTCTGATTCTATCAACAACATTGTCAGGGCAGGAGGGGGTGCAAATATTTGTCTAACAAGGACATCATGTTTTATTGCCATCATAAGCTTCATTTGATACGCCCATTTGGGGAGTAGCAAAAAACCATTATATGAAGAAAACCCTTGGTTAAAGTACATATGGCATGGATCAAAGGTAGACTCAGTGTTCTTACAGAGAATATCTAAAAATAGACACTGTCATGGAAAAATATAATTCTAAACTTAACCATCATACTCACTCAATTCAATTTCATAATTTCATTTATTAGTCACTTACTATAAGTTAGGCACCGTGCTAGGCACTGGGGATACAAAGACAAAAGAATTAAAAAGTCCCTGCCCTCAAAGCTCTTACGTTATACAAGGGAACACAATGTGTGTATAGATAAGTAAATAATAAATGTATATATGAAATGATTTCAAGAAAACATTGACAGATGGAAGAATTGGAAAAAGCCTTGTGTGAGAAGTAATTCCTGAGCAATATCTCAAAGGAAGTTAGGGATTCCAAGAGGTAGAGGTGAAAAGAGCACATTCCAGACATGGGGCACCATTACGAAAAGGTGAGGGGTAGAATGCTATGTAAGGGGAGCAGCTACCAGGCCAGACTAATTGGAATGGAGAGAACAGCAAAAGAAGGGATAGAAGTCTAAGTGAAAGGGAGTAAAATAAGACCAGAAAGTTAAATAGGAGCCATATTGTAAATGGCAGACTGAAGAGTCTGTACTTTATCCTAAAGGCAATAATGAACCATTAAAGATTTTTTTTTATTAAGGGGAAAATATGATCATATCTCTCTTTAAAGAAAATTAATTTCCTAATTATGTAGTTAAGAATTGGAAAGAGGAGGAACCTGGAACTAAGGGAACCAATTAGAAGGATAACACAATAGTCTTAGCAAGAAGTAATAAGGGTCTAACTAAGATTATATGAGTGGAGAGAAGGGGAAAGAGATATGGTGTGGAAGCAGAATTGACAAGACTCAGCAATTAACTGGATATGGGGAGTTGAGGGAGAAAGAAAAGTCAAAGATAACTCCACCATGGTGAACTTGAGTGACAAGAAGGATATTTGTACCCTTGTTAGAAATGGGAAAGTTTGGAGAAGGGAGGGTTTGGGGCAATGCTCATCCCCCAAACATATATCAAGGATCATAGAAACACAGACTCCTAAGTTTGAAAAGGACCTCAGGAACCATCTATTCCAAGTTATACACAAAGCAGGAATACCATCCAGAACTTCTTTGACATCTGGTAATCTAGAGACTGCTTTAAGACCTCTAGTGATGGGTACTACTTGACCTCCCAGGGAAGTCCATTTCGCTTCTAGACAAATTGAAATGTTAGGAAATTTTTTCTTCTATAGAGTCAAACTCAGACACTTATTAAGTACCTATTACACACAAGGCACTATGCTAGATATTAACCTCCCAGCGTTCCCAAGCACCTCTCTAAGACTGTGAGTTACTGATGAATTGTCAATATGCAGGGGTAGAAGGTCTATCTTCACCATGATATCCCTACTCAGATGAAATCACTTTTATTTTCCTCATCTATGAAATGAGGGTGGAGGACTCAAAGACCTCTAATGGTCCCTTCCAACTCTGAGTACTATGATCCTATGGACCATAAGAAAGACTCCTTCAAATCACTAATAATAACATAAATGAGAACAACTCTGAGAGAGTATTTCATACTCTTCAAAGCGATAAAAATTATAAAAGATGGGAAAAGTCAAATGCTGGAGGAGCTATGGATAGACAGGAATACAAAAATTCTATTGGTGGGGCTTTGACTTGGTCCAACTGTTCTGAAAAACAATGTAATATGTGAGAAAAGTCATTAAACTGTTCATACTCCTTGATTTGGAAATACAATTATTGGGGGACCCAAGGAGCTGAAAGACCCCACATACAACAAATTCTTCATAGCAGAATTTTTGCTGTGGTAACAAAAAACTGGAAACAAAGTAGATATCCATTGATTAGGAATGGTTGAACAAATGCAACATATTAATTTGATGGCATTCTGGTGTGCCACAAAAATGAACAGATATAAAAAATTGGGAGTAACCTGGGGAGACTTATATGAAGCAATACAGAACAACATAAACAGAACCAAGAGAACAATATACACAATGACTACAATAATGTAAAAGAAGACATCGTTCTAAGACCGGCAAACTGCAACAATCAGTCCCAGAGAAATGATGACAAATGTCCTTCCTCTTAGTACAGAAGTGGGGGCCTAAGTGTGGACAGTGCTATACGATGTCAGAAACAGTAGCCATATCTGTTAGTTTTTCTTGAATGTTTTTCTTTGTTACAAGGGAGGGTCCAATGGGAGACAGTGATTTAAGAAGACATGACTGTGGCATTAAAATAACAATAATAATTTTTTAAATGTTAAGGTCAAATTTGAGGTCATATTCTATCATACAAGAAAAAGGGAAGAAGAGAGGAAGAAGCCAGTCTGAAAGGTCCTGCTTTTAGAAGGACTGAAATATTTAATCAAGGCAGCAGGGGTTAAACTTGATGACTGAGAATAGCATAGCAGGCTAGGCAAATGACTGGGTGACAGTCAGAGGTATCAGAGAGTTAATATATAATTCATCCAAGAGAGCTTCACTTATCAGCACAATCAACTCAATTATCTGCAGCATACTTTTAGGCTCAAGGGGGTTTCCCCAGCCTCCCAGCATATTTCTGGGCTACCATCATCCAATGCCATCAGTTGAGGTGTGCTCACAAAATGCAAACTCATTTTAAAAGCTGGCCTGAGAAAAATATAATTGGAAAGGGGAGCATCTTGTAAAAGAAAATTATCTAATACATCCAAACCCAATAATTTTTTAATTATACACACCCACAACACGGATCCTCCTTCCATTAACAAGGATACATTTGGGTTCCCAAGAAGGAAGGTTTAATGCAATGTTTGCCCCTATGCCCCTGAATACTATTTTAACTACAGGCCAAATAGGCTTAATTTACCTGGTGAGTGGGTTTGTGGGTCTATCAGAAATCCTCCCTGGATAAACAGTATCTCTTGGATGCCTCATTAACTCTTTTACCTCACAGGGTTGGTGTGAGATCCAGAAGAGATAAACATATGTAAACTAATTTGCAAACCATAAAGTGCCATATAATTGCTAGCTATTATCATAGAGAAAGCTACATGGCACAGTGAATAGAGTGCTGGGCTTTGAGTGAGGATGATGTGAGTTCAAATACTGCCTCAGATACTTAAATAGCTCTATGACCCTCACTTAATCTCTATCTGCTTCCATTTCTTCAACTATAGAAAGGGAATAATGAAGGTGCCCACCTCCCAGGGTTGTCATATGGATTCAAGAAGATAACATTTATAAAACTCTTAGCAGAACACCTGGCATATATAGTTGGTGCTTAATAAATATTTGTTCTCTTCCCCTTCCCTTTTAAACTCACCTGTTTATGTAAAAAAAATAATATCAGATTTAACAGTCATGATATGTCCTACCTATGTGAACTTGGGCAAACCACCTAACTTGTCTAGGCCATGCAAAAAAAGGAGTTCACACCACCACTAATATCCCTTCCAGCTCTGAATCCTATGATACAACAAATTAAACTGTGCACAAGGCATGTAAGTCAGTTCTACCTTTCCTCTCCCTATCCCCCTGAATTCCTCTACTTGCAGGACCACTCCAAGTCTAACCAGCACTTGGAAGAAGACATTCAGGGCTAGACTCAAGCAATTCTCTAACACTGGAATGTAATCAGTAATAAAACAGGCTTTTAGCAGAGGTATGAAAAGTTAGGAAAGTACTGCTCCCAGCTCAGAATGCACTTAGTATAAATGGACACTGGAGGGAGCTCCTGGAAGGCTTATGGATAGCACGTCATATTCCTGGCTCCATGTCTCAATAGTTCTCTAAACTTGTCCATCCCACAGAGGGCTGTACTGACATTTACCTGAAGGTTCCAAAATCCCATCTATTGGCATAGGGACATGAGGCATCCTAGGCCAACAGCCTAACACTAAATCAACCTCCTACAGGTCTTCCACACACACAGGCTTAGTTTGTCAATGAGCCCTTGCTTTGCTCCCTTGTAGCCAGGACTTTGCTTTCTATAGCAGATCCACGTTCTGTTTTCTTGTGCCCGAGTCTTTGCCTTGGTTCCTTGACTGTACCCAGAGTCACACAAGGGACTGAAGTCTTGTCTCTGTGACTGAGTCTCTGCTACAAGATCTTCTTGAAGCTGACCCTCTGCCAATAGACATAGCTCCATCCACTGCCTCCTGGCAGTTCTCCTGACACAACGGTTGGGGAAGGACGCTGAGACTTCAGCTTAAACCTAAAAGTCAAGTGCCTACTTGCCTGGCCTGCTTGCATCCTTGTCCGCATCTTTATCTGATGTAAAACCACCCAGGTTTGCCTGCCCCATCTCCACAAGCTGGTCTTTTCTCTGGATCCCAGTCATCCTTTATCTATCACATTCCATCATTAATAGAATCCTCATTCTGACCCACTGCTCTGACATCAAGGACAGGTACAAAGACGCCTCTTCCTTGGAGACTTACCACCCTTTAATCTAAGCAGTCACAGCATCTAAGGCAGGCACAGACTCCTCTTTGTAAACTTCTAATAAAGCCTTTATTAAAGCTAACCACACTATACCTTATCAATAGAGTATATTAATTGGCATGGTATATACAGACATTTAGCAGGCTGCCAAGTCACCTATAAAGGAGAAATACAATCAAATATCACTCACTGAAAATGAATGAAAGGGTGGGGGGGGCACTGTCTGTATTAGTGAAAAGTCTAAACTGAAGAAGATAAGAATCAGAGCTTGAAGGAACCGTGATGTTTTACAGTTCCATGGCCTTATTTTACAAATGAGTCTAAAGGGGTCTAGAGAGATATATCCAAGTATCACAGTACCTTAGATTTAGAGCTAAAATGGAGTTCAAAGGTCATCCAACCATCTCATTTTACAGGTGAGGAAAGGAAGGCCAGGAGAAGTTAAACGTGACTTATCCAAAGTCAATCATGCAGGCAGCAAGTGGCAGACCCAGGTTTAAACCCAGTTCCTCAGACTCTAAGTCCAGCACTCTTTCCACTGTGTGACTCTTTGGAACGAATTATGTTATCGAGGCCTAGAGGTGAATTATTTCATTTGAGGTGTAGAGCTTGGTCCAGGATCGTAGACGCAGCTGGTGGCACAGTGGATAGATATATCACTGGACCTGGAGTCGGGAAAACTTGAGTTCAAATTCAGCCTCAAACATTTACTAGTGTGTGACCTTGGGCAAGTCATTTAACTGCTATTTGCCTCAGTTTCCTCATCTGTAAAATGGGAAGAGAATAAGCATTTATATAATGCCAGGAACTGCACTAAACATTTGTACAGATCCTGAATGTGAGAATTTTGTTTTAAAAAAAATAAGAGCACTGATCAAAAACATAAAAGTTGAAGATATATTTTTAAAATCCTTAAATTCTTGAGACTTGCATGTAAAAGGATTTCCTTCCATGCTTTTGTATACACCATTAACTCATCAGATGCTTACAACAACCCTGCAAGGTAGGTGCCATTATTATCCCAATTTTCTAGTTGAGGAAACTGAGGCAAAGAGAAGTTAAGTGACTTGCCAGAGTCACAGAGTTAGGCCACATTTGACTCAGGTCTTCCTGACTCCAAGCCCAGTATTCTGTTCACTGTACCACCTCGCTGCCTGGGTAGACAACAGGATAAAAATAGCACCCACTTCCCAGGGTTGTGGTGAGGATAAAATGAAATACTTGTAAAGTTTAAAATGTTATATTATTATTATTGACACTATTGTTGTTGTTGTTGTTGTTGTTGTTGTTGTTGTTATGGTTATTTAGTAGAAGAGCCAGAATTTAATCTAACATCTTCTGACTCAAAATTAATGCTCAATGTTGTTGTTTAAAATATTCAAGTCCATACTACATATTAAAGTACAAGCTATATAATGTGACAAGGTAATGAAAATTGCCATCCTTGAGATACCAAAAGAAATTCCAAATGTGAAAATCCTTTTAAAAAACAAGAATATTAACTGACAAGATAGAGGTTGAAGATATATCAAAAGAATCCTTAACTTCTTGTGGCTTGTGTGTAAAAGGATTCCCTCGGTGCCTTTGTACACACTTCTGTGCTAGATTTCTCCTTCTCAAGAATACTATGAAAGCTCACAAAAGAAGTTGTTTTGGATTTTTTAATCAAGAATGACCATATCTATCGAGTCTGATTTCTCAATTTCTGAGTTAGGGATATCTGATTAATGAAGTTTTCCTTAATTTGTTCTAATTGTTAAACTCAAATCCAATTCATGAAAGGGAGAAACCAAGAGAAGAGACCAGCCTGTGAAGGTCATGGTAGCACATTACCTTTACATCTTCCAGAGCTTGAACCTGCAGCGTGTAAAGTAGCAATAAGGAACACAGCCATGACAAGATTGTGGACTGAAACTGGGCCACAGAGAAGGAAATGATGGTGTGGAGGAAAACCATTGCCAGGCCATGAGCTCCCATCAGGTACCAGCAGGCCCCCATTCCATAGACCATGAGAAACCAGGGCCTGTGCTGAAAAGTAGGAACAAGAAGGAGGCCGAGAGAAAGAGAAGAAAGCATGTAGTGAGAGACCAGGAGAAAGAGAAGGAGCAGGAACAGGAAGGGGAAAGAGATAAAAAAAAAAAGGAGAAAGAAAAAGGAGTGAAAGGAAAAGTGGTAAGAGAAGGGAAGGAAGAGAGAGAGAAGCACAAAAATGGTAAAATTAGACAAATAAAGAGAGAAGGAGAGAGGGAGAAAGGAAAAAGAGAGAAAAGGGGGACAAAGAGAGGAGGGTGGAGGGAGAGAAAAGAGAAACAGAAAGAGAAGGAGGGAGGGAGAAAAGAGAGAAAAAGGGAGAGAGAGAGAAAAGAGAGGAGGAAGACAGGGAGGGAAAGGAAGAGAGAGAAGAAGGGAGTGAGGGAAGGAGAGAGAGAGAGAGAGAGAGAGAGAGAGAGAGAGAGAGAGAGAGAGAGAGAGAGAGAGAGAGAGATGGGCATTAGTCACTTCTGCTAATAAATATTAAACAAGTGAAATATTTTTCTCAGTGACATGAACCAAATCTGGCACACGATAATCTGTGAACCACGCAGTAACCCATACAAGAGATATATTCATAGGGACTGTTCACATTAATTCAGGAATAGGGCACTAGTTTTCAAATGATACTTCAAAGGAAGCCATATCTAGAAGTGGATGGCCTCTGGCCTCTCCCTCTCCCTCCCCCTCCAGATTCCTCAAGAGCTGTCCAGGACACTTAATTATCACTGCCTAATATTTACAGGGCAGCGAGGTGCTGGACCTAGAATCAGGAGCACCTGAGTTCAAATCTGACCTCAGACACTTACTAGCTGTGTGACTCTGGGCAAGTCATTTAATCCTGTTTGCCTCATTTCCTCATCTGTATAGGTCGTGAAGGTAGTCATGGGGGAGGTCATGAATGGGGTCATGGGGTCACAAAGAGTCAAACACAGCTGAATGACAACAAATACTTTGAGAGTGCCTTCTATACAATTCTGGAGCCTGCTTCATTTAGATTTTTATTTTTTTTAAGTAAAAGAGGGACATAGCTCTTCCACTGAAAGGTTTATAATTTTATAACACAGGCAAAGGGAAAACACTTCAAACAGTCAATCAACAAACATTTAAGTATCTCCTTCGTGCCAGGCTCTGCGGTAAATGCTGTACTAAATGCTTCTTCCACAAATCTCGGGTTTCACACAATGCTTCTCTCTTAGCAAATCAGCATTTTTTTTTAATTTTTGTGTGATACTGCTGACTGCCCCAGCCCACTTTACATCTCCCTTTTGTGTTGTCTTCCCCCACTAAACTATAAGCTCCTTGAGGGTAGGGCCTGTCTTTCTTTTTCTGTATCTGTATCCCCAGTGCTTGGCAAAATAACTTGCACATAGCAGATGCTTAATAAATGTCTACTGACTGCTGACTCATTTTAAGTCTGGAGTCCAGTAAAACCCCTAGAAATCTTATTCACACAAACTCCTGTTTAGTTGTGCCTCCTCCACTTTGTACTTGTGAAGTTAGTTATTTCATTAGTGAGGGGAATTCCCAAGTAGAAAACTCACTCTCCCAGTGGAGATCAGCCACTAGCCTGAAACTTTTAGTCTAAATGACTTGTAGAAGGCCACACACCCAGGACATATTAGCTATGGGGCTTCAACTCAGGTCTTCCTGATTCTAGTGACTGGCTAGCTATCCACTACATCAACATGCCTCATATACATACATGCTGTCCCAAAAGTCTTAGTTTAAGTGTGTGTGTGTATAAAGATATAGACAAATCTATAGATATCAATAGTCCTATCTGTAAATATCTATATACACATACACATAGGTATGTATATATACATACCTCGGTGTGCACATATATGTATATATACATGATTTACATTATAAGCATACATGTGCAGGAATATGGAATTATTATAACTTTGAGACTCACACCACGCCTCATCATGATGAGGAGGTAAGTATAAGCTCCGAAAAACTATACCAATGGGGCCCAATTTTTTGGTAAGCCTTATGCTGAGTTGGAAAGACTTCAAGCATAGTCTCAGCAACAAACTGTAGTTCTATCATCTGAGGGTTTGAGCTCGAAGAGACCTGGCAAACACAGTCTCGGCCAAAGGTAATAAATAATTTCAGCCACAGCCACATTCCCCTAGTCAACTAAGGCATGGGATGGTTGCATTCCATACTGGTTGAGAGAATGCCCATACCAATACAATCGTGGGTCCAAAGTTCCAGGAACATAATCCCACAGAACAGGAAGAGACTGATTCTATTTAGGTCCTCAAGTATAGACAGACAGACAGACAGACACATACATACATGTATATCTTTAGACATATATGAATGCAGACAAATAAAACTCCTATTATAAAGTCCACTAGCAAATACTAATGATCCAATCACAAATATTGCCAAAATTTGCTCACATTTTCCATACCTAATCCCCATCCCAAGACACTACATTTTAAGAAGCAAGAGCCAAACCAGATATGCCCTTTTTAAGTTCCAGGGGAACCAAAAAAGTAGGCTCATTTTCTTAATGTATTTTTCCATCCCACTACCCACAGAAAACAGTCACATGAATCTGCTTCAAAGTTTCCCCTAAAACACTCTCTTCTGGGCCAAGACCAAGGATAGGAAACCAGGCGGCCAAAGACTATTTTTGGAAAGAGTTATTAACAACTAAAACAAGAAGGTACTTCTTTAATGTGACCTACCGCATTTGACACTTACAATTCTTCTCTATGTGTGCACAGCTTCACACATACACTGCTAATTATTTTTATTAAATATTAGTTCCTATAAAATTAGAAAAAAAAAAGGATCTATTTGTTGGGATTTGATTGGGAATTTGCCATAACCTAAAGCTGCTTTAGTCAGGAAGGACTGAAACAAACTAGGAAAATTTCCATGGTGCTGTGCCATCACCATCTGCTTGAGTGGCGATCTGGATTTTAACACATACTCTTACAGTGTGTTCTTGAACACCCCACACCGTACCCCTGCCATCACCACCAAAAAAAAAAAAGGTTAAATGCTAAAAACAGGAGCAGATGGCATTTAATGCTTCTTTTCACAGATTACACAAAAGGTATCCCCATATCTAACCTCAATCAACTCGCTCAATTCCCTTAATTGGCACAGGCCACTCCTAACCATAAAGGCTACTGAAGATGAAGAAAAAAGGAAGGAAAATGTATGGATAATGCAAAAACAGGAGATAAAAATAGTGATTATTATTACTCACATTTGTATAACTTGACATACAGTCTATAAAATGTCTTCCTCACAACAGCCCTCTGAGTAAGGGAGTTCAAATATTATCATCCCCATTGTACAGATGAGGAAACTGAAGAATTTAAATGACCTGTCAAGGTTTACAAAGCTAATAACTATTGGAAATCCGTGCTCAAACCCAGGCATTCCCACTCCTAATAGTGAGTTCCTTTCCATTCTATCATGTTGCCTTCCTATGAAAATGGATTCTAGAATATTAACAATAATAACAGCTATGAACATTTATATAGCACTTTAAGGTTTGCAAAGCACTTTACAAATATCACATTTCATCTTCAAAACAAATTATCTCCATTTTACAAGTGAGGAAACTGATGCAGAGAGAGGTTAAGTGACTTCCCATGGGTCATACAGCTAGTAAGTGTCTCAAGTCAGATTTGAATTCAGATCTTCCTGACTCCAAGTCCAGAACTCTATCCACCATGCCACCCCAATGGCATATAGAATATACTAATGGCCAATGATATGTATGCCATAGCCCCATGAATTATTTTATATATATATATATATATATATATATATATATATATATATATATATATATATATATATATACACACACACATACATAACATAATTATGTCAGCTCACATCCTCAGACACATAAGTATCCACAACATAATCCTGCATAGACTCAGCATTTTCTACCACATCTATTAGATCTGTCCTCTGAGGGAGCTGCATAAGGGACTATCCAACATACTTGGCATTGGAATAGAGAGATATTCACTGGAAAACAGTCACTGGGCTGTACCTAGACACTCCAACAGTCATCCATTCTGCCCTTATCCCTGACCCATTTCCTGGCTCTGTCTTCCTGACAGCAATCCAAGATCAAGCTAAGCACTGGAGAAAAGTTGGCCTGACAACAGACGTGTTATATTGCCTAGGGGTGCAAAGAGCAGGACAGAAAGCCAGCTCTCTTGAGAAGTTGTCTTGAGTTTTCTCCATGTGTTTCCCGGAGACACTCCACAGACCAGAAGTTTGCTGGCTGGCCAAGCCATCTTCACTCCAACTGACATCACCAATTTAATGAAGCATTATCTACTCATTAAAGTGAAACAGCTTAAACACCATGTAAGCTGTTATAACACCATTGTTATAATAGCCACAAATACCTCCATACTTTTAAAATGAAGTTAAAGATAAATAAATGTGACAAATAAATGTACAAGGATTATACTGACTCACCTTCAAGAAAGCCTAAACTTTAGACAGATAACATGTGCAATGGAAAGAGTACTAAATTGGGAATCAGAGGAAATGGGTTCAAAACATGCCTCTGATTTGACAACAAATTAATCAATAACAAGCATGTATTAAATGCCTACTGTGTCAGAGATTGAATTTACAAAAATAAGAGTGAAATTTCAGTCCCTGCCCTTAACATGCTTATAATCTAGCTGAGAGAAACAACAAACAATTTACAAAATGATAAACAATAATTTGGGGGGAAGTCACTGGAAGCTGGGAAGATCAGAAAAGGTTTCATATGGAAGATGATACTTGCACTGAATCTTGAAGTAAGTAGGGATTCTAAGAAGTGGAAATGAGGGAGTCCATTCCAGGTATGGAGGGCAGCAAAGACATGAACGTCAGGGATGGAACATCCATCTAACCGGACCACTAAGAAGTCACAACAAGCATTTATTGTATGTTGCCTGTGAGGAACAACAAGGAGGTTACTATTACTGGATTGTAGAGAAAAT